TCTGTTACATATTATAACAGGTAGATGGAGACTTGCCGGCATCTTATTGGCTGATTCGCTAATCACTACCAGACACATCGTAAGTCAAAACAAACCTGGCGGAGGTGAGCAAGATTAAGATGTGATGGAAAAAAATCGATATTGGCCTTAAATGCCTCTCTAAAGACATGGCATAGTCTTATAAGTTTAAAGTTCACACACACACACACAGGCCATATTGCCTATATGCATGCTATTGAAATAATAATAATTAAAAAAATGACAAAATTTTAAAGCTACTACTATGCGGTATCACCCGTAAATTCGATTACTGAAGAGGAAACAGTGAGATACATTGGAATGAAGCATTAATAGATGCATAAATTTTGATGTCACTCACCTTCGCCACCTTTAGTTTGATCTGGGATGTGTACATTATTGGCCAAAGAATTAGCCACCAACAGGCCGTCGTTCATCTCTAACTACCTGTTGCCCCTATATAGCAGACAATAGGGAAGTCTGTGTGACAATGCTACACTTGCCCCGTACTTGCCGGACACGGGTACAAAGGTAGGCCAATTTGCAGTTTCTAACGCCAGGGTTCGATTTTTGAAAACTCAGTGACTGAGCCCCTGAGTGAGGGGTACAGGGCAGGTGACGAAGCTCTCGGCCACTCCAGTGTTTCAGTAAATTCCTGACGCTAAAAGTGCCCTCTTTACTCTATAGTAAACTAGTGTAGTATACGATTTCAGTTTGTGAAATGTATCTGATTACTTAAGATTAGTCACCCAACTTGCATGTTGCATGTTGAATTTGCATGTTGGAAGTATATAAGCAATAGTAAACCATGAGTCGATTCGAGCAAAGATAACCAAACATTGTCACCATATGTTTATTTCCAGCAGGGTCCTTTGCTTAGGCTGGAGAATAATCATTAACTAGAAATCTACAAAAAAGAGTTGTGAAAATTTGTGGTTACATCAGTGCAAGGGATGTTTATAATCCTTGCCCGTCTGTCGCATTCGGGTCACCTGAAGATTAACACTCAGTTTATTTTACTGACAGTTCAATATTCTAACGCTACCTGGGGGTTAGGTTATGTTTGATTAGATTTGGTTAGATTAGGTTAGGATAAGTTAGATTAGGATAGGTTGGGTTAGGTTAGACTATGTTATGTTGTTAGAGTTAGTTATATGTTTGATTAACATTAGGGTGTTTAATCATCTGGTGAAATAATCTGGGGGGCGAATCCGCAGGTGGTCCTCACACTCGTATAGGTCACAAGCAGTGTACAGCACAAGGCAGCTGGCGGAGACCAAGTACACGAGGTGGTGGACCTCGTTACGCTTCTTCAGAGCCTGGACACATGTTAACAACCCCTTGTCTGGGGAATTGCCCATGATCTCAAAACTAGCACTGTGAAAACTTTCCTGGTTATATTGTTATTAGCGGATATAATCTACTAACCCCTTCTGTACGGAGTCGCCTCTGAACTGAATAAAGTCTGGGAGTTAGCCAAATAAAATATTAAAAGTGGCGTCCCGGTTGTGAAAGTGTTAATATTCACTCTTGTCGGAAAATTACGAAAATTCCAGAGTACTGGCGAGGTAGATATATTAGAACACGTACAGTACAATAGGTCGAGGAAGCCGCGATGATCTTCCCTCGGGTACAAATAAAGATGAATATAACCTGAAAAAAAAAATCATCTATTTTTAGGGGGTCCACTAACACGCTAGTATACGGGTTTGAAAGTTAAACTAATGACTAATAAAATAACAAGTAGGTCTCATGACTCCCTCTCATGTGGACTCAAGAACATAAAGACCAACCGTGTTCATACCTGACATACTATATCTTGAACATGGTGACCCCCAAAACCTGCGATAAGTTCAAGGTCAAAAGGTCAACAGATCAAGGTCACAGCGTTGAAAAATTGATAACCTCGCGTGAGTTGCCACCTAGCCAGAGTGTGGGATATTTTTACTCGAGCAGACCTTAAATACACAAGTTACAGAATCTATATAAGTGTTATTGATGTTTCTTATATCTGTGATTTGATTATTTGTTTGTTTATCTGAACTATTTAGAGGTGGTGTTGGAGGTGATGGAGGTGTTGAAGGTGATGGTGGAGGTGGTGGTGATGCTGGAGGTGGTGGTGGTGTTGGAGGTGATGGTCGTGTTGGAGGTAATGGTAGTGGTTATGTTGGAAGTAGTGGTGGTGTTGGAGGTCGTGGTGGTGGGGGTGGGAGCTGATGGTGGTGTTGGAGGTGATGGTGGTGTTGGAGGTGATGGTGGTGTTGAAGTTGGTGGTAGTGTTGGAGGTGATGGTGGTGCTAGAGGTGGTGGTGGTACTGGAGGTGATGGTGGTGTTGGAGTGTGATGGCGGTGTTGGAGTTGGTGGTGGTGTTGGAGGTGGTGGGGGTGGGAGGTGATGGTGGTGCTGGAGGTGATGCTGGTGTTGGAGGTGGTGGGGCTGGAAGGTGATGTTGGTGTTGGAGGTGGTGGTGGTGTTGGAGGTGATGGTGGTTGGAAGTGGTGGTGGTGGTGGTGTTGGAGGTGGTGAGGGGTTGGAGCTGGAGGTGGTGTTGGTCTTGGAGGTGGTGGGGGTTGGAGTTGGAGGTGGTGGTGTTGGAAGTGATGGAGGTGTTGGAGGTGACGGTGGTGTTGGAAATGATGGTGGTGTTGGAGGTGGTGGTTAGTGGTGGTGTTGGAGTTGGTGGTGGGGTTAGAACTGGTGGTGGTGCTGGTGGTAAGTGTAGTGTTGGAGGTATTGGTAGTGATTAAGCTAGAGGTGGTGGTAATGCTGAAGGTAGTGGTTGTGTTGGAGGTAATGGTAGTGGTTGTGTTGGAGGTAGTGATTGTGTTGGAGGTAATGGTAGTGGTTGTGTTGGAGGTCATGGTAGTGGTTGTGTTGGAGGTAGTTGGTTGTGGTTGGTGTGTGGAGGTCATGGTAGTGGTTGTGTTGGAGGTAGTGTTGTGTTGGAGGTAATGGTAGTGGCTGTGTTGGTGTGGTAGTGGTTGTGTTGGAGGTAGTGTTGTGTTGGAGGTAGTGGTTGTGTTGGAGGTAGTGGTTCTGTTTGAGGTATTGGTAGTGTTGGAAGTGACATTGTTAGAGGTAGTGTTAGTGTTGGAGGTAGTGTTTGTGATGGAGGTGGTAGTGTTTGTGTTGGAGGGAAGGGTAGTGGTTGTGTTGGAGGTATTGGTTGTGTTGAAGGTAATGGTAGTGGTTGTGTTGGCGGTAGTGGGTGTGTTGGAAGTAGTGGTTCTATTGAAGGTAGTGGTTATGTTGAAGACGGTAGTGTTAGTATTGGAGGTAGTTGTAGTTTTGGAGGTAGTGGTAGTGTTGAAGGTAGTGTTAGTGATAGAGGTAGTATGTGGAGGTAATGGTGGTAGTGGTAGTGTTGAAAGTGGTAGTGGTAGTGTTGGAGGTGGTAGTGGTAGTGTTGAAGGTGGTAGTGGTAGTGGTAGTGTTGGAGGTGGTAGTGGTAGTGTTGAAGGTGGTAGTGGTAGTGTTGAAAGTGGTAGTGGTAGTGTTGAAGGTGGTAGTGGTAGTGTTGAAGGTGGTAGTGGTATTGGTAGTGTTGGTGGTGGTAGTGGTAGTGATGGAGGTGGTAGTGTTAACGTTGAAGGTTGTAGTGGTTGTGTTGGTGGTAGTTGTAATGTTGGGTGTATTGGTTGTGTTGGAGATAGTGGTTGTGTTGGGTGTATTGGTTGTGTTGGAGATAGTGGTTGTGTTGGAGGTAGTGGTTGTGTTAGAGGTGGTCGTGGTAGAGACGTTTCAAGTAATGGGATGTTCTTATATCTCATTCACATAATTGAAGGTTAATTGTATAATGATTTTATGTCACAATTTTTGGAGGTTGTTGGGAAGTGACTTTAGAGAGCAGCCTTTGTAGGTCGATATCCTCTATTGCAAGAAGGTATTACAGGATGCTAGTAAAGGAGACTATTAGAGGAAGGCATTACATGAAGCTAGTACAGGAAGTTATTACTGTAAGCTGATTCAGGAAGCTAATATGAGAAGTTAATACAGGAATCTAAAACAGGAACCCATTTCCCCTAATCCATAATGTGGGTCCCCCTAATAGACGCAGCTATTACAGGAATCAATTTCAGGAAGCTAGTTTCTCTAACACAAGTTGCTATTTATCCATGTATACGAGGTTGTTCTTATGAAATGATGTTTTTCCCCTTAATTTAGGATGCTGTTCCCCTAATATAGGATGTTGGTGCCCCTGATGCACGAGGCTTTCAGGAGGCTGCTGCCCCTCGTTCAGGAGCCTTTTTCTCTTTGGTGCAGGAGGCGGTGAGGGAGGCTGAGGGTCGTCTTGGCTCTGGCAGCTTGGTGAACCACCATTGTTGGCAAGAGCAGCGGGACGGCGCGACGCCCCCTCTGCCTCCTCCCCCACGCCGCCGCCGCCAACCTCGTGGCAGCTATGCTTTAAGCTCTCCTGTTCGAATGTTCATAATCTTATCGATTTTTACATCACAGGTTCCCCAAGATGCCGACTGTCTCTCCATTATAGAGCTTTACGCCTCCTGTTCCCCGGGGTAGAGTTTACGATAACGTGGGTGTCGACGGCCGTGCTTAGAGCTCCTTCTAACTGGCAATTTCAATCACATTGGCGGCAAAATTCTTAGGGATTTATTGTACTTTATGGCTGAACAAAGAGCCTTGAGTGACGTGTTGCTCTTCTGGTGTTCATGTTGTTTCGAAATACTGATCTAAATCCATTCGCTGAATCAAGCTCACAGCATTATTTTTCCGAGTATTTTCTTAAAGCGTCCCGTTTCCCTCCCGCCACTCGTCCTAAGCCCCGCCCACTTATGTTGACGTAATCCCCGGTGACCGCCTCCCATTGGACGCCATCATTAGGTGGGCGCCCACGCCAACCAATCAAACCGCCGTCGCGCCGATTATGAACCAATGATCTTGCGCTTACCCAGCATATCGACATGAATTTAGAAGTGTGGCAGCCTGCGCGGACCAACCAGGGCGCCGCCACCGCGTCTCGCCCTCCCCGCGCCGATGACTTTCCCGCCTGGCGCCACGCGAAGGGATCCGTCGCCAGTCCCAGCTGAAGGTTCCCGACCCTGGACCGCAACACGCAGTAAGTGCTCCATTTTCACCTCCCGACGTCCCCCAGTGCCAGTGTCAGCGTCCTAGTTGAAGGAATATCGTGTGGAAAGTGTCCGTGTAAGGCTGTGAGGTGGTGTTGTGTGTCGGTCATTCTTGGAGGAGTCGTGGACGGACGATCGTGTGCAGCTGCCGGTGGTGGTCATAGGTCAGGTCAACCCCCTAGTGATTGATATAGTCGTTCTCTTCCCCATTCCTCCTTCTCCTCCTCCTCACTTTTTAAAATGGATTAGTCGGCCCACCCCTCTGCCTTCCCCCCCTCCAACAGGTAACAGTGCCAGTCAGAGTTTGGTGGTGGCACCAGAGGGGACATTTGGAGGTGGGTAGTTAAATGTTTTTGTACTACATAGGGGGGCCATTTTTGGAGGTGCCTCGGACCATCTTTTACAGTATCATCCAGTCATGGACAAGATATACCAAGGGTAGGGGAGACAATTGATGAAATGGGAGAAATAGGTGGAATATGGAGAGGGAGGGAGAGAGGGGGGTAGAGGCGCTTGGAGGGGGGGAAAGGTGGGGAGGAGCCAATATGGATTAGAAGGGGGGAGTGGTGGGGGTTGAAAGAGAGAAAGGGGGGAGAGAGAGAGAGAGAGATGGAGGGGGAATGGGGGAAGGTAACACTGGGCATGTGCAGGTGAGTGAAGGTGAAAGACAGACAGTGGTGGAGAGATATGACAGGAAATGAAAGAACGTGATGTAATTAGGGTGAAAGAATAGTCTGGTGAAAGAAGTGAAAGAAACAGAACGAAGAGATAGATGGACATAAAGACGTAATTAAGATGTAGGGGAAAATCTAGGATAATGGAAGAAGTAAAGATAAATAAGGAAAGAGAGCATAAAGATGAAAGAAGTGAAGGAAATAGAACGAAAGAAGAATAGAGTGATAAAAGTGAAAGAAATGTAATGAGAACAGTAAAGAGAAAGAAGCTACTGAGATATTAGGGACAAAAATACAGTATAGGTTGAAAGAAGTGAATAGGATATGAAAGAAGATAGAATGGTTGAAAGAAATGAAGGATATATACGAGGGTAGCTAGGCAGGTTTACGAAAGATAGGTAAAGAAAGAAGGATAAATGGAGAGGAATAGAAGGAGGTAAGAGGAGAGAGAGAGAGATTAGAGAGTTGGAAACAGGGGTGGAGAGAGAGAGAGAGGGGGTGGGGGGTAATTAAAGATATTGAAAGAGAAAGTTAGAAATATAAAGGGAGAGAATTAGAGAGAGATTGAGAAAAAATAGCCATAGAAAGAGAATTAGGGATAGAAATAACAATAAACAAAGAAAGAAACAAGAATGATGAAGAAATGAAATTGAACTTGATAAAATTTGGACTCCTATTATGAAAGCACTACTTTCCATTTTGAAAGCAGCCCTTCATTCTTGACCATTTTTTTAAGGAGTGTTTATTGATACAAATTAATATCTAGCAAAGACTATAGTTCCCTTGAAGTTAATTTTCGTATTAAAATCTAGATTCTTGAGCTAAAACTTTGCTCCACATTTATAAATAGGTTGATCTATATTAAATCCGGACTTTTTAATTGAATATTGTTCTTCATCTGATAGAAATGGTCTTTAGTTGAAAGCAGTGGTCTGTCGTTGAAAGCAGTGGTCTGTAGATGATAGAAATGGTCTTTAGTTGAAAGCAGTAGTCTGTCGTTGAAAGCAGTGGTCTGTAGTTGAAAGCAGTGGTCTGTAGATGATAGAAATGGTCTTTAGTTGAAGCAGTGGTCCGTCGTTGAAAGCAGTGGTCTGTAGTTGAAAGCAGGTTCTGTAGATGATAGAAATGGTCTTTAGTTGAAAGCAGTGGTCTGTCGTTGAAAGCAGTGGTCTGTAGATGATAGAAATGGTCTTTAGTTGAAAGCAGTAGTCTGTCGTTGAAAGCAGTGGTCTGTAGTTGAAAGCAGTGGTCTGTAGTTGAAAGCAGTGGTCTGTAGATGATAGAAATGGTCTTTAGTTGAAAGCAGTGGTCTGTCGTTGAAAGCAGTGGTCTGTCGTTGAAAGCAGTGGTCTGTAGTTGAAAGCAGTGGTCTGTAGATGATAGAAATGGTCTTTAGTTGAAAGCAGTGGTCTGTAGTTGAAAGCAGTGGTCTGTCGTTGATAAAAATTTTCTTAATTTGGAAGCAGTGGTTTGTAGATGATAGAAATGGCCTTTAGTTGAAAGCAGCAGTCTGTAATTGAAATCAATGGTTTGTGGTTGATAGAAATGGTCTTAATTTGAAAGCAGTGGTCTGTAGACAGCTGTTCTCTGTATGTGAAAGCAGTCCTTTTATCTGAATGCAGGACTTTATGTAAACCGCATGTTAAACCAATGTTCTTCTATCTGAAAACATAATTCTTTAGTTTAAAATAGTACTTTTGACAGACGTGTTCTTGAAATGAAAGTTTTACTCTGTGTTTGAAAGCAGTGCTCTAGCTTTGAAAGTCACGTATTTCAGTTTATTACAGTGATTTAATCCAAATACATAATTTTTTGAAGTAATTATCTGCCTGCGAAAGCAGTGTTAATTTTGATAGTAGGATTCTTTATCTGAAAGCAGAACTATTCAGTTAAAAGTTTTATTTGATGGAAAACTTTTTTATTTGAAAGGACTTTTTAATTTGAAAGTAGTTTTCTTTATTTTAAAGTCTTCTTTTGATTAAATAATTTGACATTGCAAAAGGTAGTTGTCTTTGAAGGTAAAAATCAAAATGAAAATTCACTGTTTTTTCATGAAAGCAATTCTGTGTGTGAGAGAGCACAGTAATCTTTATTTAACTGAAACTCTGTACTTGAATGTAATGACCACTTTTAAATGCATTGTTTTATATTTTAATACAGTGGTCCTTTATTTTTATATTTGAACGCAGTGCTGATTTTACCGGGAATGAAAGCAGAAATTTGGTGAAAAACTGTGAGCTAAATTGAGAAAGCTGTAGTCTATCAGAAGGAACATTCTACATTTGAGAGCAGAACTATTCGTTTTTTGAAAGTAGAAATGTTTTGAAATCAGTAGTTTTCTTTCATAATGGGAGGGTAAACATTTGAAAGTAGTATTCTTTATTTGAAAGTCCTCTAGTATTATTTCCCCAAAGCATAAGATATTCCGCATATGAAAGCAATGAAAGCAATCTTAGTTGTCATAAACGATTTTCTCAACTCGAGTCGTCTGCATTACTAACTGATAATAATGTATTCCTGGTGACAAGCACCGCGCTAACGCAGCTAGGACTATTTACTGAAGACGAATAAAAAATGTACTGTAAATAAAATAGTAACACAGAGAGACGATAAAGATTACGAGACTAATATGGAACTAGGAAATGTAAGAGGGAAAGTAAAGAACATTGCGATAGAGAGATAAAGAAAGAATATCCTCGGAGCAAGAGAGTAACTTGCTACAGGGAAAAAGTTAAATGTAAGGGAATTTAAGGCTTAAACTACAGTAGACAGTCAGGTCATTGAATAAGATGACAGCCACGTCATTAGTGGAGTCAATTAGTGTATCGAGTAAATGATTGATAATTATATATGGGTGAAGGAAAGTTATTGTTGTTATCATTATAGTATTAATATTGTTGTTGTTATCGTCTTATCATTATAGGACTAGTATATAATTATTATTATTGTTATCGTTATTGTTGTTGTTTCTTCCCATTGGTAATAACAGGTAAAACACATGACGTTAGGTTAGGTTAGGTTAGGGTCTTGTTGACGTCGTGGTGTGACTTAAACAACACACATTTTATGGGAATACAAACGCATAAATCATCCGGCTAATATATTGTCATTAAAATATGTGCTAGGAGAGTATAATTAATTTAGGGTATATTAGGAAAGTATAGCTGTCATAATGTGAAAGTATGGTTAGTTAGTAAAATTGATAGCTGTACACACACACACACACACACACATTGACAGGCAGCCATTAGTGGACAGAAATATCCAGAGTTAAATCAGCCTCACCGAGAAGAATTATATTATTTAACCTTCTTCTTGCTTTGTGTGTGTGTGTGTGTGTGTGTTGTTCACCACCATTACTATAACCACCATCTACCACAACTAGCCATCAGCCAACACCACCTACCTACCACCACCTCCCACTAACACCATTACCATCACCTACCACTAGCACCATCTACCACCACACGGTTGTAGTGTAATAATGGTGGTGGTGAGATGGTGGCGATATGATTGTGGTAGTAGAGATGTGATGAAATGTTGGTGATGTGGTAGTGGTGGTTGTGATGTAGTAGTGGTGGTTGTGATGTAGTAGTGGTGGTTGTGGTGTAGTAGTGGTGGTTGCGATGTAGTAGTGGTGGTTGTGGTGTAGTAGTGGTGGTTGTGGTGTAGTAGTGGTGGTTGCGATGTAGTAGTGGTGGTTGCGATGTGGTAGTGATGGTGGATGATGTGGTAGTGGTGGCTGTGATAAGAGTGTGTGTGACGCCTCCTTCATCAGTACATTGGTCCAACACTGGATGAGGAGGACATGGGGGAGGCCTTTACTGCTGGCTTGATAGGGTGCTGACCTCTGTCCCAGGAAGAGATAATGCTTTGCTCGTCGGTAACGTCAATACCATAGTCGGTAAAGATGCTGACTTCTGGCAGGGAACCACAGGGAAAAAATGGAGTTTTCAAATGCAATACCACCGGCCTAATCCTCCTTAGCAAGTGTGCTGAACACAGCCTCACTATCACCAATACGTTGTTCAGGCAGCTCAACAAGTTCAAGGGCTTTTGGCAAAACTCACGATCGAAACCGTCGGAGAAAGAGATCGCTGCGATATGGTCATGACTAGAACTATATGTAACAAGTTCCCAGAAGGAAATTCAATGTCAAACGAACTGAAGATCAAGAGGTGGAACACATTTTGAGGAGCACCACCGGGAGGGATAACTGAACACCCCGACAGCTGATGATTTGACTCTGACTGCCCATTTAAGTTACCCTCAAAATCGTCATCACGAAGACCTGCAGTGAGACCCTCTGCCAGTCC